TCTCTCTACAATAAATAAATAAAATCTTAAAAAGAAAGAAAGGCTCAAGAAAACACACGAAGTGACAGAAGACTGGGCTGGGCTGTAGGCATTCTATGGGATTCCTGCCTTCCACTTTTAAAACTTTCCATATGCCGTCTTTCTCTTAATTTTGAATACAAAACGCTTTAGAAAGGCACAAAGCCATCAAAACAGCTCTTTGAAATTGATTTATAACCAAAATGAGTTCTACATCACAAACATGTGGCTCAGCCCTCCGGACGTATTTTTCTGCTCTCAATATGTGGACGTTCCAAAAACGAAATCTGAGCTTTTCTGAGGCCTGGCTCTGCTTGTGGAAACACTGACCCCTTGTGGCAGCAGTGAGTCAACACACACTCCCGGGAGAAGCTCCAAGTTCTTCGGGATCCACTAGAGACAGGATTCTTCACGGGCTCGGGCACCCTGGGGTGCAAGTACAGCGTCTCTGATAAACATGGGACTCGGGGCAGCTTAAACTGTGGAATTTCCTTTACAACTTAGTTTTGAATAACTTTTCCCAAAAGTGCTGTTTTACTGGTGGGCGTCCCTATAAACTTCTGGGCTCCTCACTGCAGGCCTCTGATGCTGCAGGTGTCCCCATCAGGGCCAGACTACTCTGTGGGGGACACTCCCACCTGGTTCCCAAACACGGATTAGGGCTTTGGATATGGAAATCACTTCCACCCATGAGAAGCAAGCACTATGCTGGTAGAGGATTTCCATAACTGCCTTAACAGGGCAAAGGGTCAAAGGGCCCCAGATAATTTTAAGGTTTTTTGTTTTTCTGTTTGTTTTGTTTTGGTTTTGGTTTCTTAATTGAGACAGTGATTTTTGAAAATCAGTCACCAAAGGACTTTTTAACTTTATGGTAACGAATAGTGCAATGGTATCTGATATAACTCACGTTGATAAATTTTAGATTGGTCAAATTTGTAGAATCTGGCTTTTTTTTTTTTTTTTAACAAAGACAAGGGGCCCATAAAAGGTCAGTTACTATGGTTCATTTGCCGACTTGCCCAATGGCCCACAGTTAGTAACAGGACCAGGATGAGAACTTGGGTCACTTTCCTCCTCCATCAGAGCATTTTTCACTTTATGGGACCGATGTGGTATTTCTGGGTATGTGGCATTTTTGTGCACACAATTACAAATTAACTCAGGTACCTCATTCCATCAATGTGCATGATTTATCACTGCTGTTCATGTGATTTAGGGACAGGGCAGAGGATGGGGACAGAGGCCTGAGAGCAATGTCCCCTCACCATTAATCACATCCAGTGGTGACCGACCATGTCCCCTCCCTGCATCTCGGCGTCCAAAGGTGAGAGATGAGGGAATTGTGTGCTATGCATGGATACAGAAGGGAGAGTTTCCCAGAAAAATGCAAAATTCCATGAAAACAGCATGACATTATTAGCGAGGTGATTATATTTACTGATTCAAGGGCCCTATGATTAAGAAAATGAAGATGATTCTTGGAACAGAGTAAACTTTGGTTTACATGAAATTAACTACCTTTTCAGGGAAGATCTAATGACTTATGGCTATCCCCATTAGGATACTTTCTTTTAGGGGCACCTGGTGGCTCAGTTGGTTGAGTGGCAGGTTCTTGATTTCCGCTCAGGTCATGATCTCAGGGTCGTGGGATCAAACCCTGGTTTGGGCTCTGCACTCAGTGGGGAGTCTGCTTGAGACTCTCTCTCCATCTCCCTCTGCCCCCCTCCTGCTCACACACACACTCTCTCTCTCAAAGAAAGAAATCTTTTTTTTTTTAAAGATTTTATTTATTTATTTGAGAGAGAGAGAATGAGAGACAGAGAGCACGAGAGGGAAGAGGGTCAGAGGGAGAAGCAGACACCCCGCTGAGCAGGGAGCCCGATGCGGGACTCGATCCCGGGACTCTAGGATCATGACCTGAGCCGAAGGCAGTCACCTAACCAACTGAGCCACCCAGGCGCCCCAGGAAAGAAATCTTTTTTTAAAAAGGATATTTTCTTTTAATGCACATCTATTCTCTTCAGACTCTTATGATGAACCACTCATATTTTCTCAAGGGAAAATAAGCAATAGTTTCTGCAAACTTTTTAATAAACTCTAAACGAGTTTACTCCCATTTCAGAATGCTTCCCAGAGTGTTAGGTGAGCTCTGTGATTGCTGACCGTGCAGGGTGGGTGGTTCTGTACCCACTACACAGACGGGGAAAGTGGAGACAGAGAGGTGCCCTTTGCTGTGTGAGATTGAAAGCCTCGCTCTCACACCCTAAGAGCAGGGCACTCAGCTACAAGTCACTGGCTTGGGGGGAAATTTATAAAAACAAGAGCGGAGTGCTCATAAGGGAAGTTCCATCACCAACACATCATGCTTGATAGATGCGAGCGTAATATCAAACATAAGACATAATGGACATAAAGAAATATGAATATGAGGGGCGCCTGAGTGGCTCAGTCGTTAAGCATCTGCCTTCGGCTCAGCTCATGATCCCAGGGTCCTGGGATCCAGCTCCACATCGGGCTCCCTGCTCGGCGTGGAGTCTGCTTCTCCCTCTGCCTCTACCCCCCAATCATGTGCGTGCTTTCTCTCTCTCTCAAATAAATAAATAAAATTTTTTTAAAAAAGAAATTGAGCATGAACATAAAATACTTAAGCAAACATAAGCACCTGTCCAGATTTGGTCAACCACTCAGCCTCTGGAAGCTGGCAGTTTCTGCGTCTTCATAAGGAGGATGAAAGATCACAGAACTCAGCACGGGCCCGTCATGGGTCGGCACGCGGTGGTCACCATCACTATCTGCCGCCATTATTTTGTTAAGTGCTGTCCTGCCCTATGGCTTCAAGCCCAGTAAACTCTGCTTTGGAGGCCAATAATGAATCTGCCACATTGCAGCTTCACTTATTAACTCTGGTTTTCAGGAAAAGTCACCCTTCATTTAAAAAAAAATAAAATAAATATCCTGGAAAATTCTCCATTTAACGCTCTTCAGCTTTGCATTGCACAAACGGACAGACCACGGAATGAGTGACAAGTGGTAGTTCACTGGAGGCTTAATTTCTAGTTCTCATTATGAGCGAGTTTGAGCACTTTTCCATTTATTTATGCACCACTTCCTTTTTTTCTTTTTCTGTGAAATTTCTATCTTGGTCAGACGTCATCATTCTTTTTTTTTTTTTAATTGAAGCAGAGTAGACAAATCTGTATTCAATGGTCCCCACGATGAGTACTGTGTCACATTATATAGAGTGTTATTACAATATTATTGGCTGCATTTCCTATGCTGCACTCTTCCTCCCTATGACTGGAAGCTTGTATGTCTCAATCCCCCTTCACCCCTTCCCCCATCCCCCCACCCCGTCCCCTCTGACAACCACCAGTTTGCTCCCTGTATCTGAGTCTCTTTCTCTTGGTCTTTTGTTTGCTTTGTTTTTTAGATTCCATATAGAATTGAACAGACAGAAAATATGTGCTATATATACGCAATGGAATATTACTCAGCCATCAAAAAGAATGAAATCCTGCCATTTGCAATGATGTGGATGGAGCTAGAGGGAATCACACTAAATGCAGTAAGTCAGACAGAGAAAGACAAACACCCTGTGATCTCACGTACATAAGGTTGTCATTGCTTTTCTATTTCAACAACCCCCCCACATCTGTCATTTGGATTTTTACTTTGCTGATAATATTCTCTCTCCCTCTCTCATTTGTCATTCAAAAAAAATTTTTTTCCCCTGAAGTCAAATTCACCGGCGTTTTCAGAAAATATTCCCTCCTCTCAATTTACAGATGAATTCACTCCTGTTTTGTGCTAATTCTTACATGGTTTCAATTTTACATTTACATTTCTATATATTTTTTATCCTAGTGTTTACAGTGAAAATGCATACGATTTTATCTCTTGCTGTTGGGCTCTTCAATGATCAATACATTTATTTCCCTCCACCGATTTGATGTGTTGCCTATATTGTATTTCAATTTCTGTCTTCAGTTGCCTCTGAGGTTTCTATTTGGTTCCATTGAGCTCTTTGTGGTCAGTATAACACAGTCTGAATTACAGAGGTGTTAGAAATTATTTTAAAACTACCCAGGCTTATCCATTACCCTTGTCTTTTAGAGTTTTCCTGGCTAGTTATTGCTTGCTTGTTTTTCCAAGTAAACTTTATAACTAATTTATTTAGCTCCACCACAAAACCCAATCAACATAATAATGTTGAATCTTCACATCTAAGAACATGGTGTGTCTTCCATGTGTACAATTCTATTTTTGTGTGTCTTTGTGGTATTCTATTATTTTCCTTATAAATGCTTTGGATATTTCCTATGGAGTTTTTGCCTAGGCTCTATCTATTTATCTATGTCATGAATATATTTCCTTATGTTGCACTGAGAAAAAAAATCACACAAATGAGCAATGCCCACTACAAAATTTATGCTTCCATTCTTTGCTGTAGAAAAATTTAAAATACCTAGCACATTTGCAATAAGAAAGAGTGTGAGCAGCCAAGCCCTCTAGTGTAAGTAAATAGATTTCCCACTAGAACACAAACGTAGCTTACAGAGTACATGAAGTATTAGAAGACATTTTCCAATAAGTTGTGGCCAAAATCGAGACTATGATTACAGATTAATGCGTCAATGGACATTTCAAACTATTCTTAGTTGATTTAAGTCTGTTTTATAGCAAAGCAAATGACATTGTTGATGTGGTCATGGCAGGTAAAGACTTGCTTAAGATTATACAACTAAAGGGGCACCTGGGTGGCTCAGTCGGTTAAGCATCAGACTCTTGATTTTGGCTCAGGTCATGATCTCAGGGTCATGAGATTGAGCCCCACGCTGGGCTCTGCACTGGGTGTGGAGATTGCTTAAGATTCTCTCTCCCTCTCCCTCTGACCCTCTCCTACTGCTCACAGACCCTCTCTCTCTCTCTCTCTTAAAAAAATAAAAATAAAATAAAATCCTTTTGAAGTGTAGTCTCACAGTTTAGGAACTGGTAGATTTCAGGATGGGAAAGAAGGCCATGTGGCCCCCAAGCTGCTCCTGAATGTATGGAAGCGATTCCAGAGGGTGTAAATTCAGTTAATCTAATTCTTGAATCCTCCTGATCATGTTGACAGTACAGAGAAGTAGGAACTAAAAGACCCCACAGCTTCTAATTGTAGCATGGGCAAGTAAACGAGAAGCCATACACAGCTTCGCGCATCTGTTAGACTGAACATACAAAAACCAAACGACTAAACTAATCTACAGTCCTATTTTCTAGAAGGTCCTATGAAGCAGTGAGAAGCCCGCCTGGTTAGCAAGAAGCACCTGTGGGATTGGTACTCACATTCGAGCCCTTTTCCAAAGCAGACTGTGAGGTGTCCTCATCGCTGTCCAACCCGGACCGCCCAATCTGCTCGGCCTGGAACACAGACACACCGCACGTTATCTCCAGGTCAAAGGAAGACCAAAAAGTCATCCTCCACGATTATTACAGCACCAAACCAGCATGGTCTTCAAGGCAGCAGGCTCTGCACTGGGTGGTTGTAATCCACGGCCACGCCCCTCAGCGCAGGAACCCCGAAGCCCCGAACCAAAGTGCTCACTGATCTGAAAACCAGTTTTGAAATCTGTAACTCAAGGGAGGGGTTTTCTTTTTGCTTTTTCCCAAAAGCATATCTTCAGCTTAGAAGATATATAATAGGAAAACAGTAGTTTCATGAGTCTGAGCTGATGGAATTTGCTCAGAAAGCCAATTCATTGACTAGTTTTGGGGGGATTTCTGAGTTTTAAATTTGGTTGGTTTACCACTGTGCTGCTCATTGAGTATATACAGAAATAAATCACCAAACATCTCACTGTCTGTCCATAAAAGATAAACAGTAATGACATCTTACTTCATTCTTCAAGAGGACATTTTGCATGATGGCGTGCTGGCCACCAGCTACAGAATCACTGGGCACAACTGGGCTGCCAACCTGACCCCCCAACATGAGAATCTTTGGGCAGATGACCCCAGGATCCCATTATTAGCCTAGGTCTTAGGGTGATTCTTAGGTACTTTTTCAGAACCTCTGGGTTAGGGGAATAAATAATGTCAAAATTGTGCAAAATTATCATGTTTTAAAAACAGTAAAATAACAAAGTTTTAAAACAAGGAAGGATACGCGCCCTCATCTACTTCATCCAAAATGATATCCCTCAAATATATCCTCTGTTGAGATCTTATACACACACACACACACGCACACACACACATTTTTGGCTTTAAGGAGATATTGTAAAGACCTCCTTTAGCTTTAATCGCCTTGATATTTCTCCATCCTTAGCGTTCTGTCCTCTTGAGACATTTGTGGACTATCTGGCATCATGAGATTTTAGAAACCATGTAAATAATGATTTCCTCCAAACCCTCTTAGTATTAGTGCAGGAAAGTGGAGTCCTGGATGTGTCAAGCATTACAGCATGAACGGGCGAGGAAGAGCCGGGGCTCGGGAAAGACAGGCTGGTTTGAACTCGGACAGCCACTGGCCCGAGGGTCAGCTCAGGGGGACGCAGCCTTCTTTCCTGACCTGTGAAATAAGGTGGGTAGTACCTCTCACCAGGCTTCTGGAAGATGAAGTGAAGTTGCATTTAGCACAGCGTCTCAAACCGTGAAGCGAAGAAAACAAGGAATGAAGAAGCTGATGCCAAAAACAACAAATAATCCGGTAAGGATACGACAACATAAAAGAAGTCTAAGTAACCTAAAGTAAGTGAGAGGAAGAGAGGAGGTACATTAGAAAGGAAAAATAATCCCAGCCGGCCAAGAGAGAGCCAAGATGGCAAGAAGGAGTCCCTGCAGCCTGTGGCATTTTTCCAGGGTCCTCCTGGGGTGGTGTCCCTGACGAACCCTCGGAAGCTGGGCAGTCTCTAATCTCCCACACCTTAGGCAATCTTATTTTACGTAAAACAAAAGCATTTCTCGATTTTTTTTTTTTTTTTTTACTGGCTTTGCTGCAGTTTCATCTCTCGAAGAAGAAGACACAAGAGGACTCTTGAGATCTCAGTGTGAGGAAATGGTAGGTTTTACTCTGAATTGGTGCCTTCAGGATGAAGGAGGATTGCAGGGAGTGCAGTCCTGGCAAACTTAACCTCCCAAATTTCAGGAACCAAGAAACTCAACGTTGATAGAGCAAAGGGAAATTCAGATGCAAAAGTCGGAATCTGTAATTTCAAGTAAACCTGACCAGAGAGAAGGGAAAGGAGGGGAGGGGCATGGGGAGGGGAGGAAGGGAGAAAAAGGGGAATGGGAGTGGTAGGGGAGAGGAGAGAAAGGAGGAGGGGGGAGGGGAGAGAGGAGGAGCTGGGAGGGAATGCAAGATGGGGAGAAGGAAAGTGCAAAGGATCTAAAGAGAAACACGTTGAGCACAGATTTTCAAAAGGCATGTCGAAACATAATAACCAGTAACAAAAAAAGAGATTCACAAAATCAAAATCAAAGCATCAGGACATGGGAAGAGAAAATGAGCTGCGCTGTGTGTGGGGAACTGCCGAGGGCAACAGACACCTGGGGTAGTTCAGGCTCCTGAGCCACATGGTGATCTTAGCCTTCACTCCTGGGGCTCACCGTCCTCCCTCCTCTGAACCACGAACTGCCACTGGCCCCGGGGGCAAGCACCAGCGTCGCAGTCTGACTGACCCGGATCTAAGCCCGGACCCTGAGCACGGTGTTTCTTTGCATTCACGGTCCTCATCCGCAGAGGGGTGAATCCTCCCACCTCAGCCTCCGGAAGGTGGGGAAATGAGATGCACAGCCCGGTGTGCAGGGGGACCTTCCAGCCAACACCAGGCTGCCCTCCCACCCTGCTTTCACCTGTATACAGGTGGACACTTCCAAGCCCACCTGACGGTATCAGAGCCTAGCACTGGCTGGAACGGTTTTGTCTTTTTCAGTCCCACTTATGAGTAAGGAGAAACTACCAGATAGTAGCAAAATACACCATTTAGACAAATATAATAGGGACAACGAGCAGTTTCATTTCTTGGTAGTGAGAGGGCATTTATGGTTTTGGGAATTTCAGAAGTGACTGTAAAAATCTTCAGTCTTATTCTGTGTACTATGGCCTCACTCTACAACAAGGCATCCAAAATATGACTTTAAGATTTATTCAGTAAAGAGCAACAAGATGAATACAATTAACTTATCACGCAGTATATTCCAAACCATACTGGGAAGACCAAAGGCCATCTAAAATTTACTAGCAAAGGACCCGTTCAACAACTGACACCCAGCTCCACAAAGAGGCCCAAGAGCAGCGCTGCGAGGCTTCCTACGTTAAACAGGTACTAAATGCATTTCATTTGTAGGAATATGGATTGTTCTCTATAAATATGCGCTCACTCATTCATTCATCAATCCACAGGGTTTTTCCTGAGCCGCAGCTTCACACCGGGTACTGCGCATGCGCCGGAAGCCAGCTGCAGCTTCACACCGGGTCCTGCGCATGCGCCGGAAGCGAGCGGCAGCTTCACACCGGGTACTGCGCATGCGCCGGCAGAGCCGTGCTCGTGGCTTCGTGCCTTGCTGGTAAATACACTACCCCCCAGCTTTAGGAATCAAGTGTGGAAATATGCCAGCCACTTTGGTGCGTATGGATAAGCTCCCTTTCACCCGAAGGAATGAACACTCCTAAAAATATTTAGAAAGATTCCAAGATAGGGTGAGTACAAGCATCCCAAGCAACTATTTTTCCATAATGCAGAATCCAGCGTGTATTTAATCCATTACCTTACTACTGCTTCTTTTATTAACTTTGAAAAATCCCAGAAATTTTTTCTTCTCTTTATCTGTCTCATCATTGGCAAGCGATGATTTTCTAAAGGTTTCTGGGGGAGGAAAAAAAAAAAAAAAAGGCATGTTATCAGCATATGAAACGAGATTAAATGGCACTCTTTAAAAATCTCAACAAACGAATCCTCCACTCTTAAACTTCCAGTTTTTACAAGACAGTGAAACCACCAACTATGTCTTTCAAAGCATTTCGAGCCACCTCAAAACCTCCAGTCCCATTTATGAAATCACTGAGGTTCTTATGATCTTCAGTGATTTCGGTGGCATTTTTCTCTGAGTGGGACTGAACCCTGTATGTGAATGAGAAAAACAAATAAATCAAAAAGTCCTTGGGCAGGACCATCCACTAGAAAAATTGAGCCACACATGCAATTTTACATTCTCTAGCAGGTGCAACTTTAGTAATGCGTTCTGTGTAATCCAACATATCTAAAATGTTACCATTCCTTCACACAGTCACTGGAAAAATGATGAATGAGAAGTTTTAAGTTCGTTTTGGTACCGAGTCTTCAGAACGCAGTGTGCAGGTCACACAGGACGACTCGGTTTGGACGGGCCACACCCCTGGTGCCCACGAGCCACACGTGGCTCACGACCCTCGGGCCGACAGCACAGCCCTAAGGGCCGGGACATCTGTGTGAAACGTCTGCTTTAAGAATTGCGAGTGAGGCGAAAACAATAAACAAGATAAATCGACAACTTTCTGGCTTGAAGAGCCTCACTCATGTCCAGACTATGGGACAGCAGCGATCGTTTACCCAGGTGGTATCGAAATAATCCCATGAATCACAAGACTTGCATCCAATCACAAGAATCTAGGATTCACGTTTCCAGATTTGCGTTCTTCGACCTCAACCAGAATGTTTTCCTTCTTGATTACATTCTCTAGGGGGCCCATTTTTCTTTCTTCTATTGTTTTGTTATTTTTGAGCTCCAAGTCTTCGCTCTTCTTTCTTGGTGTTTTCCTCATCAGAAATTTAGAGCTGGAACGAGCCCCGTCGTGTTCCAGATGGGGAACTGCCAAGGGCAACAGACACCTGGGGTAGTTCAAGCTCCTGAGCCACATGGTGATCTTAGCCTTCACTCCTGGGGCTCACCGTCCTCCCTCCTCTGAACCACGAACTGCCACTGGCCCCGGGGGCAAGCACCAGCGTTGCAGTCTGACTGACCCGGATCTAAGCCCGGACCCTGAGCACGGTGTTTCTTTGCATTCACGGTCCTCATCCGCAGAGGGGTGAATCCTCCCACCTCTCAGCCTCCGGAAGGTGGGGAAATGAGATGTGATTGGATGCGATTTTGTGATTCATGCGATTATTTCGATACCACCTGGGTAAACTCAGGTAACCGCCTGGGGCACATGGTGCCCCACCATCTCTGATTGCCATAATTCACTGGCTTGCTGACACTCCAGAGGCCACTCCAGGCTTTTTTCATGAACGGTTCTTCTCTTCCAAGCACACAGAGATGGCAGAGGGGAAACATTTAGGTGTTCCTGAAGGATAGAAAAATGAATTTCCGCAGCCCACTGCCAACCGCTAGAGAGCCAGATGGTCAGTGCACAGGTGGAAAATCTGGACTGGGATTGTACAAGCCAGCTGTGAAAATAGCAACCCAAAATGGGTATACACATCAGTTAACTTCCTTATCCGCTGGCCTAGAATTTCATACTCCAGTTAGAGAACACACACGAAAGTCAAGATGTTAATAATAAATGCATTAACACGAAAACCGTCTACCCAACAAAGTGAAACCTAAACACCTTTATTCCGTAAATCACTGTGTAAGTGGCGAAGGCTTAGGTTTTAGTACGGCCAAGGCTCCTGGTTACATGCAGCGGCCCCAGCTGAGCCACTGGCGCCCTGCACATCACACGACATCCAAACCAGTGAGTGGGGCAGCTCCAATCACGGGGCACGTGTCCACGCACGTACACGTATGCACGTGGATCTCACGGCTGATGACACTGCAACCCTCCACGAGAAGCCCAGAGCTATGGAAAGGGATAGAAACTACACTACAGAGTAAAACTACGTATAGGTAACCAACAGCATGCCTTAATATGTGTATTCATAACTGATCATGTTTCTAGAATTGAGGGATAGGTGAACACAGATGTAGTAAAATGCGTGATATCATAGTGCCCGCGGGTGAACGGGAGAGAGGAAGTGTTATGGGCACATAGGCAACGATACCAACCACAGAAATGACAGACTGATCAGAAAACTGTCACAGAATCGAGCCTCTTTTTTGCTCTCCCCGAACAGGGACAGAGGCTGGTCCGGATGCCCAGGGACAGCCCTGGCGCTGGAGCCTGCCTGCAGTGACCCAAGAGGTGTTCTCTTGTGTGGCTGCAGGTGTCGGCTCTCTGGAGGCAGCAGGGGCCCCAAGCAGATGGCCTGAGGTATAGGGGCAAGGGACTGGCAATTCTGTACTGATGTGGGCCTTCCGTGAGGCCTCTGGGACCCGGCAGACACGCAGAAGGGTCAGCCGGAGGGCAGAGCAAGAGCACTTGATGTTCCTTGGTGTTCCCATCAGGCAAAGGGGCAGCAAGTGCCTGCCACACATCAGGGCGGTAGCTCTTCATGGAGACACAGCCAGGCTGGGAGGACACAAGCATCAGGCCCAGAACCCGTGGTTCCAAACACACAGCAATTTGAGCGCGAACCCGATTTTCTTTCGGCTTTCTCTCGTGTACTAGAAGTTAAATGGCAATCAAAGTGTAGGGGACGACATGCTCCATCTCTAAAAAAGCACATGCTCTTTGAAGTATGGATGTGATCTGGAGAACAATAAAGATGAGCTGAACAGTACAGGGGGAGGAAAGGGGCCGCGGGGGGTCCCAAATACCAGCGAATCCAAACCGTTCACTTTTCCAGAGGAGAAAATGGAAGGTCAGAGCCGTTCAGTGGCCAGAGCATGGTCACGAGCAAGTAACGGCCAGAGGAGACCCACGCCTGCATGGACATCCTTCACATAGGCAAGTTGCTGAGTTCAGGTCCCCAGCAGGAGCCTGGGCACACGGGGTCTCGACCACCTGTCTCTGCTGCTCTCCGTCTGCCCACAATCCCCAAATCGAACCGATCCAAACTGAAGAAGGCTTCACATGCATGATTTCCCTGCTCAAAACAACTACCACTCATGGTGCTTCTTAAAAGAGAACCCTTCTGTTTGCAATATCCATCTATACGGTGCGATGGGGTCCATAACCGACGAGGGCTATGGTCAGATGCAACAAGCATGGCCTGTGGTTCCAGACCGATGTCCACTTCTGTTTCGTTACTATCCTTATACTCATTAATGAGATAAATACTCATTAATGAACTCTGTGGAGACGGTGTGTGTACACGTGTAGTCCAACAAGTTCACATAAATTCCGATATATGGTATGTGTGAATATATATATATATATCTGTGTATATATGTAAAGTGTAGGATAAGTAAGTGTCAGAGTAAATTCAGAAGCTGGACTGATCATCTGTACACTTGTCTATGACAGAAAAGATTACATTTCAGTCTGTACTGCCCCAAAGTCTGCAGCAGACAGAATGGACCTCGAGGGCAGGTGTGCACAGGTAGAAAGGAAAACGGTGTGCCTTCCGCATGTGCCACTTCCGCTCCGCCCTGAAATTCCGTGTTCCTAAAGGACCCATGTTCTACCCCAGCCTCCTTCATTTACTCAGCAATTGGAACCGCACGGCAAATCCCCACACGAGGGACATTCTTCTCTCAAGCAGCCAGGGAGTCAAGAAACCAAACCAAAGCCATATGTCAGCGGACGAGATGTCCCTAGAAGGGCTGCAAGGCATGCCTGCATTCCTTCAGGCCCTGCACGCAAACGCCACTTCCATGCATCGTCCTGGTCCAGAGCCATGCAAAGCCCAGCCGGGCCGGAACCGGCTCACTGTACCTTGACAGCTCAGGGAAGGCTCCGACTGAGTTTTGGTCAGAAGAACTGGAAGAAGCAGGCAATGAGAGAGTGAGGTCAAGCTCCCAAGCTGCAGCGGCCCCTCTGTGAGCCTCAGAAGGGGGTTGTCTGGGCCCCTGCAGGAGAGGCCAAGGGCCGAGCAGGCTCCATTCCTGGCCCTGGATCTCCTAGAGCCCGTAGCTGCCGGGCTGCTAAGCTGTCCTGTGGAAGGAGGTGGCAGCAAAGCCTTCTGCTGTTTCAAGCTGCCACCACCAGGCATTCCCGAGGAGCCGGGTCTCTGCCTAGCGACACATCTCCCCCGGCCATGGCCCTCGTCCCTTGGAGCAGCTGCTTGCTGGGGAGGGGCTGTAATGCAAGAGGGGCCAAAAGGAGAGGGCTCCCTACAGGCGTCTTCCGGAATGTTCTCCTTTCTTCTCAAATACTTGACTGCCCATAGGGATAAGGGCATTTGGCAGGGATGATAATCAAAGGCTTCACAGCCAGCGTGGCACATGGCCCAGTATGGCCCAGAGGAAAGGGATGTTGGCCACTGGGCTGGAGCCGCTCACCCGCCCTGCTGGCTGTTGCACCTTTATTTTCCAGGGAGGATGCTGGGAAGGGTCCCCTTTCCCCAGAGGGAAGGGTCCCTCGGAGGACGCCCAAGGCAGTGAAGGGCACTCAGGGCTCAGGGCTCGGGTGCTTCCAAATCTGACAGCCAGGCTGGGTGCACCTGTGTCCTGCCCTGCCTGGGGATGGAAAGAGGGAGCCCTAGACCTATGGAGGTCTCCTCAGCTCTGTGCTCTGGACGATCGTGAGCTTGTTGGGATCCACTCCTGCATGGGGCGGCAAGTTTTATAGGACTCTTCCCAGATAAAATGTTCCACATCTACCTTTCAAGATATATCCGAGAATTGAAAGGGCTGTTTGTGTAAGCCTTTTTTCTTTCACATACTTGAGTAGGGCAGTCTTTCTTCCTTCCTTCCTTTGTTCCTTCCTTCCTCCCTCCCTCTCTTCTTTTTCTTTCTTTCTTTTTCTTTCTCTTTCTTTTTCTTCCCTTCCTTCCTTCCTTCCTTCCTCTCTCTCTCTCTCTTTCTTTCTTCTTTCACCAAATGAAGGCTGTGTTTCCACAGAGGCACAGAAACCAAATTTATATAGGGCTGATAGAACCAGACAGACATACCCGCCCGTGTAGCAGATGCTGGGAATAATCTTGTCTGAGTTTTAAAAAGATGCTGCATAAAGCACAAGATGCATTGCTCTCAAATGTCAGAGCACTTCTTTTGAAGGACTAGATAGTCTGTGCATCTTACACGCGATTGAGCTAAAACCCTTTCTTGAATGTCAAATGAGACCAGGGGTCCAGACTCTTCCAAGATTGGGGGGAGGAGAGGAGGTTCCACTATGATCACTGATTTTGCAATAAAACTGGTAATAAGAGGGGCACCTGGATGGCTCAGTCGGTTAAGTGTCTGCGTGCTCAGTAGGGAGCCTGCTTCTCCCTCTCCCTCTGCTGTCCCCCTCGCCCTGCTCATGCTCACACACTCTCCCTCTCTGAAATAAATAAATAAAATCTTTAAAAAAAAACCTGGTAATAAGAAAAGCAGATCTTCTTGGAAGAATTTGAAACAAACAGTAGAAAAACATGAAAAAATGGAATGTATTTCAACAACCCAACCTACTCAGTATTTGTGGAATAAATGAAAGGCCACAGATATCAAACGAGCCTCATGAAAATAAGGCACTTTTATGAAGTTCATTTTAATAATGCTAAGGTCAAGGAAGGTTCATTTATTTTTTTCATTCAGTCATTCATTTATTTATTTTGGTCTGATAGCTCTTTCCAAACAGTCCGCCCTTTGTGTCCATCGGGGAACTCTGCTCCCACACACATTGGTCTCCATGCCAACACCGACCTCTTGAGGAGCCACTCTCCCCACCGGCTCTGAGCCCTCAGGTCAAGTACCAAATTCACACGAGGAGTAAGTTGTCTCTGGCATCGATGGTGAGGAAGACCAAGGCAGCATCGTGAGCTGTGTTCAGGGACTGATTTCATGAACTCTAATGCAGGCAGTTTTAGAAAAAGAGCTAAATGTATTTTGCCACTGTTTTTGTGTGTGTGTGTGTGTTGCTTTTTTTTTTTTATAAAGATTTTATTTCTTTATTTGAGAGAGAGAGAGCATGAGCAGGGGGAGGAGCAGAGGGAGAAGCAGACTCCCCATTGAGCAGGGAACCCGACGCGGGAGTCGATCCCAGGACCCCAAGATCACTACCTGAGCTGAAGGCAGATGCTTAACTGACTGAGCCACCCAGCCGCCCCTTTGCCACTGGTTTTGATGATGAGCAATGTTTGAGACTTGGGGGCAGTTACCAGCAACTGAATATGAAATCCAAGAGAAGATGGTTCACGTGTTAGAGAGCTACTTCTTTACTTACCTCGCCGAAGCTCACAGGAGGTAGGGTGATGCTCAGGACATGCTCAGGATTGGGGGGGGGAAAGAGGCACAATTACAGCAATGGGAACAAACCAAATTTATTTTCTGCCCACTTCAACTGTGCTTTGGACGGCATTTGGGTTGCCTGAAAATTCGGGTACCTGTTTCTACCGGGAACCTCGAGCGCTCATAGGCGGTGGACATCTGCTTCCTGCCTGTGCTCTTACAGGGCAGGTGTCAAAGACGCAAGGTGGCCTCACCTCGTTTGTTGTCCCACGCGTAGAGCTCCTTTATCCCCAGCTCGTTGAGGGACTTGGAAAGTTCCACCTCCTCCCCGGCAATGTTGTCCCTGAGGAGCACCACGTGCTCCGGGCTGACTTCACACTTTGCACAGATGACTGGGAGAATGTTCTGGAGCGGCACCTCGGGGCTCACACGCACGACGGCCTTTTGGGTTCGCAGGTAATTCACTACCAAGCGCACAGATTTCTGGAAGAACACCCCCGATGAAAGAATTCTGTAAGTGTGGGCTTCACCTGCTGCTTGTGTGCAGGAACTGACTACGGCAAGACTTTGTGCAGCCCGAGCCCTTTGTCCAAAACTCAGGGGGTCACGGGGGGAATTGCCATACTGAAAAGTGAACGATAAACACCTGGAATAATAAACTTCCCTTACAATCCCTCACTAAGGAACAGACTGCTAACAACACAGGAGAATGGACATCGTGAGGGGTCTGGATTTATCATCTAACACCTACGCTGCCTTTCAAGGATCCCAAACAGACCTGACACAAAGCACTTACATAAGTGTGGTGAAGGAAAAGAGTTTGAAAGTGGCATGAACAATTCAATTTAAAGAAAAACCCTAAAAAACCCAAGATATCAAAGTTTCGGTTAAATAGCTAAAAGACCCACATAAATATATTACTATCTATGTAAATATATATAGCGTGTGTATATGTCTGTGTATATGCTTATTTTATACATACATATATACACTACACACATGTATTTAAGCTACAGAAATATAACTGACATACAACAAACATATACATATAATGGACACATGATGATGGAGATCATAATCAGAAAACAAAATAAGCAGTGTGACTAAACCTGATTCTAAATGTCTACTGATAAACTGGCCATCAAAAAAAAAAAAAAAGCAATATGCCAGTTTCATGCAGTCAACTTTTTCCTGGCCTTTACTGGCACAACATTGTCTGAGAATGCTGGAGAGGGGGCCACAGCAAATGCGGGTTGAATAAAATCTGACTGAGGTGGATCCATGCCCCTTTCCAGAGTAGAGATGGCACCAAATAAAATTTATTAAGCCCCCCCAAACCTAAAAATTGATAGAAGATGAACTGTTGGCCAAATCGCCATTTTTAGAAGCAGAAAAATCTAGTAAATATTCCCAAGAATCTAAAAGCTTTTAAATGGGGCTAAAAGATCCACAGCAAAGGTTTATGAAGACGTACCATAAGCAGCTGGAGTCCATTTTAATCAATAATCAAAAGCCTGAAATACATCTATGTATAAGATATGCTCCAAGCGCAACGAGTAAACATTTCCGACATCAGTTTCTCAAAAGGGAAAACTCCTGTTTTTCCTCTCCCCCATTTCCCCATGGCTTCCTTGGACAGGAGGACCTCCAGAACGGAAGGAGAATCTCTATAACTAGTTCAACAAGGTATCGGCTAGTAACTTGCGGTTATGTAAAGTTAAATTAATTAACATTAAATACAATTAAAGGCTCAGTTTCTCACGCTAGTTATACTGCAGCTGCTTAACATTAAGTCTCATGTGGCCAGGGGTGACCGCCTTGGGGAGTGCAGAACGATAGACCGTTTCCATCTGTGCAGAAAGTTCTAATGGCTAGCTCTGCTCTAGACTGATTCCTCTTCTATAATAGCCAAAGGAGCAAAGATACAACCATGAATATTATTAAAGTTGGTTAATTTCCATCTTCTAAAAGCAGCTCAGTTTAGGGCCTAACTTTGCCTAGCAGGGAAGTAGAAATTTTAATAGCTGTCTGCACGTGTTGCTCAGAGAAGAGAGGCTCCACCAGCCCCCTTCCTCAGCACCTCGGCCACAGGGCTCTGCATACGCCCTCAGATAACAAAGCCCACCCCCCACTCCGACCCACCCCGGCCCTGGTCCTACTGACCTCAGGTGCCTTGGGTGGGGCAGGCTTCACCTTCTCTTCGGGAACTTTCTCTTTGAGAAATACAGTGTGCACATTCAGTGTCCCAACTAAAGTATTTGGCTTAAAACTCAAAGGCTGCTGGGTTTCCGAAGACCGGATCTCGAGGGCATGGTGGGATGGATTTAGGTGGTTCTGAAGACAAAGTTCAACCAGTAGGTCCATCATTGCATGGCTGAAAAAGGGAAACAGATCACATTAATTAGGAATGTTTTTGTGCTCTCCCTTCGGTCAAGCTGAGTAAGGGTCAAACCCACGCACCAGTAGGTGAATGAGCAAATTGGTCACGTGTATGTGGTCATACAATCACAGCTCATGAATTCCTGGCTCATGACTGGACAGCGTTTCCTAACATTTCCAACACTAGTAAACAACATACCTGAAAGAGCAACCACCAGAGCCGGGAAAAGAGTTATATTTGTATTAAGTCCATGGATATGTTGACTTGAATCCTACAAGGTTAATTACAAGTGATACTAATAAAGACTAAATTTTCAGTGATTCATAAATGTCTCTTAAAAACTGATAAATTTTAAAAGATTTTATTTATTTATTTGAGAGAGAGAGAGAGAGAGCAAGCGCAGGGGAGAGGGGTAGAGGGAGAGGGAGTCCCAAGGAGACTCCACGTTAAGCGCAGAGCCCAACTTGGGGCTTGATCTCATGACCCTGAGATCATGACCCGAGCTGAAACCAAGAGTTGGTCACTCAACCAACTAAGCCACCCAGCTGCTCCCAAACTAAACATTTTAAGTTGAAGATGATAGCTAAAAAAATTTATGCCTTTTTAAAGACAAAAGACAAAAAAAATAACCCTAAGAAAATGACCTTGTTTGAATGTCAAAAACTGTCATCATGTCCCCCACCACAGGGAATTATTTACCAAGGGAGGAGAGTTAACAATTCAGATTACTCCAAAGAATTTCCTTTGCCTCTTTTATATCTGCCTGGCAGAATGTTTTTATATTTAAAGCTGATCTCTCTTTCCCTAAATTTCCCAAGCAATAGAGCATATGGCTCTCATGAAAGCATAGGTCTTTCCTGTGACCTATTTCCTAATCAGTAACTGACATGGCAATTATTTCTGGTCATAATTATGCTTTCCAGGTGTCTGGGGGTCCGGGGGTGCGGATCACAGACTCGCAGTGCTTCTGTGAACACACAGGTGCCCGGGTTGTCCTGATGCAGCCCGGGCACCTGTCACTTACCCCGAGGGCTGCGGGCTGCTGGGGACCCTGGATCCAGACAGGAGAACCACAAGCAAAGCCCCAAGCAAGAGTGAGTCCCCAAAGTGCCCTGCTTCTTATTCAACTGCTACAACTGAAAATTAATCAGTAATGCTCGAATTGATACAAGATTTTATTTATTTATTTGAGAGAGAGAGAGAGAGAGAGACAGCAAGAGAGAGTGAGAGAGAGCACAAGTGGGAGGGAAAAGCAGGCTTCCCGCTAAGCAGGAAGCCTGATGTGGGACTTGATCCCAGGACCCTGAGCCGAAGGCAGATGCTTAACCGATTGAGCCACCCGGGCGCCCCTTGGATTGATACAAAACAACTCAGCATTTCTCCTGGGTCCCTGGACTCTGACGGGGCATTTGCGGGGCCGAGGCAGTGCGCATGCTCACAAGTGCCCCAGCACACACGGCCACACTGGCTAATAACACAGTAAATACTGTAAACTCCGATTCCTTCAGCTCCGGGGCAAAAATCATCTTTATTCCAACCACAAGCTTAATGCAACGCAACAAGAAGACTCCACGGCATGATGACATTCCACTGAGAAGCCTCAGTACAGAAAACAGACTTCCAATGATGCTAAAATGAGGTCCTATTATTTGTTACCTCTCCCTGTGTATCCATGATGCTACTCACGTGCTCCCCTTCCTCGTCACCCAGTCTGAGAGGCGAGGTGTCCAGGAAAAGGCAGAGTGAGCTTGGGACCCTGGTCCATCTGATGCTCCCTCCTTTCCCACAGATAAACTGACAAAATGTGAGTCAGTCTTAGAATGTAAACCACAAAGAACACAAGAGCTACTAATGTTACTTTCTGTTCTTTGAATCCACTAATCGGTAACATGTTTGAACACTGAATTAGATGCTCTGAAAAGGAGCAGTCAGCTCTGGAGCAGGGTACATTTTTCTCCATCACTGAGAATAAACCCATCCTGCTATCATCGAAGCCAGTACTGATTGAATATGCTAGCACAGTGCTGTACCCATTTTCTGGCCGAATAAATAATGGGCCGCCCAAATCTCTGCCTTGTGTGTCTGGTGGATTTCCCCCCAAATCGCCTGATCCATTCTGGCTTTCGATAGTTCATTTGATGCAGGATGAGTTTCTTCCAGTGACATTCTCAACAGTTGGAAATGGAAGCAGTTTCTCAACAAAATGTTTGGGGGGGAGAAGAAGGAAAAGTTCCCAAGCAGAAAATTTTATGTGCTGGGGAGCTATCTCCTCAAATTTACTATTCAATTTGGGGGAGGAGAAGGCAAAAAAGAAAAAAAAAAACAGAAACAAAATAAAACACTAATATAAGAGCATGATCACAAAACCCAACACCAGATGCCCTGCCCGGCCATCATACATGCTTAAACGGTATGAAGAACACAAAGTCTATTACCAATTCAACTTAGACAAGCAAATCGGACACCATCCTTTCCCAGTGGCAAGAACCCAAGCCAGGACAGAGGGGTTCCCACAGGGAAATAAGGAAGTTTGGGGGTGAGAGGAGCTCAGGTTTTGATAGCTGTCTTGCTCTACTTCAGGCCGTCCGCATCTGTGACTCCCAGAGGGACGCGGCATCCTGATGAGGACTGAAGATGGGTTGCACTTGAGAAGCTGGATATGCACCAGTCCAAACACGAGGACCTGGGTCCAAAAGCATGAGCTCATCTTGCAATGCTTCCTGCAGGGTTGGCCACTTTGTGTGACCCTGCCCCAGGCTCATTTAAAACACGACCCGATTTACTACTTTTCCACTACACGCTGCTTTTTAGGATCATGTCCATGCAAAATGGGGTGGGGGGAGGGGGGCTAGCCTTTCTGCCACTTTTCACCCCACCAGTGAATCTGCTATTGGCTGGCATTTAAAATACCAAATTCCCAAGAGTATGCGAGTTCTTCCAAAGCGTCTTTGATGCCACTGGAAAAATCTACCCAGAAAGAGAGGAAAGGCAAAGCATAATGGCAGCACCCAAGGATGGACAGAGGCACCGCCTGGTCCCCACGGGCTTCCTGTATGGATGTGTAGACCGCAGCCTGCAGCGGTCGGTAGCGTCTCTAACTGGGTGTCAGTGTGCACCCTCCGCAGCGTCTCAGTGTGTCCCTCTGCCACTGGGCCACAGGAAAGAACTTTCCAGGGACTGGAAGAGGTTGCCTACTTACTCGTACACATTCTCATCACCTCCTGAGCCTGACCGTTCTTCACCTCGCACCTGCCCTTGGATGCAGCAGCATCTGCCTCGGATCAGCAGCTCTGCACACACCAGCTCTGTGAGGTGTGGGCATCCTTCCCATATCAGCAGGGCGGTTCAGTGAAGGCACCTGAGGGGAGCTGCCTGGGATGGAGTCCGGGCACCGCCACTCACCGATTCTCAGACCTGCCTCCCCGTGCCTCAGCTTCCTTACTGGTGAGGGCATACAGACAGTGTCCACCTGTTAGAGACTTAAATGAATGGACACTGGTAAGGTAGTGAGCACAGCGCCAGGCATGCGGTGTGATGAGTTTGCGAAATACATGAGTTCATTTGTTCCGGTCTTTTCTGTTTGGGGATTCTGTGTGGTGAGATGTTTTAGGTGGCTCAGAGCAGAGCTTCTCCTGTCTGTATGTGGCTAAACTCCACCTTGCTCTCAGCAAACACCGAGATATCCCAACGCTCTTGAAGTAGCATCCTGAGACTGCACCATCAAATTCCCCCAATCTTAGGAAAACAAGGCAACTAGACACCCTCCGAATGTCAAAAGAAGAATCAGGTGTATTAAGAAAGTTGACTAAACCATCACTGCTAAGAACCCAAGGCACATCCCCTGGGCCTCGGTGGACACCCAGCATTAACACCGCCATGAACAGAACTGTGTCCTCCTCAAAGTCATGGTGAATCCCTAACCCCCAGTGCGGCTGTATTTGGATATGGGGCCTCTAAGAATGTAATTATGGTTACATGAGGTCATAAGGGTGGCACTGATAGAACAGGATTAGTGTCCTTACAAGAAGAAACCCAGAGAGCTTATTCTGTGCACCCACAAAGAGGAGGTCATATGAGCACACGGAGTAATGATGGCTGCCTATGAGCCGGGAAGATGCCTCAGAAGAAAATCTACCCACTGGCACCTTGACCTTGGGCTTCCAGCCTCCAGAGCTGTGAGGAAACACATCCTTTGCGGAAGTCCCCAGTCTGTGGTATTTTAAGGCAGCCTGAATAAGACAAAAACAAACACCATTTGCAGTCTCTCTCTCTCGCTCTCTGATCCCAAGTAATAAAGAGGACTGACCACTCAAAACCACGTTGATAGCAGTCGAGGAGGGTCACGAGGCGGATCTCTGGGGCTTTCTCTCCCAATTTCTCCTCAACATCCTTTTTCCCTCCAACCTCTTCAATCTGTTGTTCCCCAAAATGCCTCTTAAGTGCTCAGAACGTAGGGGTGAAATTTATTTCCTGGTATTTGTGGTGATCTCTATTTTTAAGCTTAAAAGTATATAAAATTTTTTCTACGTCTTTTTTTTTTTTTGAATTTTGGTAATATATTTTATTTACCCAATATACACTTTCTTTAAAAAAAACAAAAAAAACAAAACTATTACTGCCCAAATGTGTATAGACTTCATGAAACACTTTGGCAGGAGTCTGTGGCTTTGATAAGAAAAAGCTGATGTTCTTTCCCAGGCGGTTCTTTCTGAAATCCCAGCAGAGAGCTAGGCAGAGTGATGGTCAGCCTGTGCCCATACCCCTGCCCCAAATGTAGAGGCACTCGGGACCCGAGGACGTGAGCAGGCTCTTGGGGACCACATGGCTGGGACAGGGAAGTCAGGGAGGCCATGCCCTATTTCCGTCAAGCTGGGCCAGGTGACGAGTCGCCCCTCTCTGGGACGCACTTCTAGCTAAACCGCAAAGCCCGCCTGTGGTCAGGCTGTGGAGGATCATTCTTGAGCTGCATCCACTATCCATTCCTACAGCTCTCT